CGACGGCCAAGCCGACCTCGTGGGACGAAGAGGGGCACAGGATGAGGTGAAGGCCAGACCGTTGCCGCCACCTCCGCTACTCAGACCCGACGTCTCAGACGTTCGGGCTCCTGATGACGCTGCCGAATCCCCGCGCTCCGTCGCCGGCTCAGCCGTGACGACTAGAGAGGAACACGCATGGTATCCCAATATTTGGGATCGGTCGGCGCCCCGGCGCGCGCGCGATGGGGCCATGGATGCTGGCCGCGGCGCTGCTGGCTACGACTACGACCCGCTCGTGTCCTACCCGCGCTATGTGAACAATGTTCACGTCGGGCACTACGTCCACAAAGACCGGGTCACGTGGCTGTCCGACGAGGAGTGGTGGACGCTGGATGGCTGGCATATACTGTCTAATTTTGAACATGACACTCGGTTCCCGTCTAAGGGGGAATCATCAAAGAACAAGGAGAATAACTATAGTGCTGCAGATCAGCGGCGGCCCCGCTCGCCTCGCGGTGAAAACGGACATACTGGAGGTGCGGCGTCGTCAAACCCGCCGCCTCCGGAGCCGCCCGTGGAAGAGGAGAACCCGTGGGGTGACCTGCGCTGAGTTCCGCCCGCGTGACCTAGTCGCGGCAGGCGCATGCAAGAAAGTTCCCATCCACGCGCGGCGCGCGCGTTGGATGGGTAATCGCCTGTTCTGGGCGGCTAAGCCGGTCCAGCGGGGAGAATTTATTTAAGTGATGGTGGGAGTCGTCGGGCCTCTTCGGCCCTTGGCCCCCTGGCAGCCACCGTTGAGCCGTGAAAGTTTTTTGGGGTTGGCTCCGGTGGTTGTGTATATGTATAGACCGGGGGTGCTGTGGCCGGATGGGCTCTACGAGGCCCGCCGCGGGGGGAGTAAATATGCTCCTCTCCGCCTCATACTATGATCACTTATTGATATATTTGCATGCTGTTCCGCAGCTATATTTGATTACTCAAGCAAGCTTCTGTTTGCTTGCAGGAGAGAAAAGGAGCGCGCCAGCCCTCGGCCGTCGCGCGTCGTCGGTCGTAGGCCAGCCGGCCTCCTCCCTACGCATCTCTGATATAGTAATCTTGCTTAACGGATATTTGTCTTATCGACGTCTCATCCCGCCCCCTCTTTCCCTGAGCAGAGTGAACGTGAGATCTTTATTCCTTTCTGGCATCTTATCCCGATTCTCAGAGGAAAGACTTTCTGACCGATTATTGTTTTGAGTTATGGGGCCCCAGAACCCCCGAACAAAAACCAGAAAAAACAGTAGAGTTACAGTTTTTGTCGGGGGTTGTCGGGGGGTCATAAGACATAATATTGTTTTTATGTGTGTCGCCACAGATCTTTTGAAACACATGCGAAACAACTTCCGATTTGGGAGGTTTTGTCTCCCGGTTTTCTGGAAGGTTTTCAGTAGTTGTATTGTTGTTTTATAGTGGGGCCCCCAAAACTTGTCAAACACACCGAAAACATCGGAGTTGAGAGTTTTTTTCGGGGGTGATCATGTTTTTGTTTTTCATTGTGGGGCCCTTGAATTCAAGAATAACCGCCGAGTTGGGAGTGTTTCGGTGGTTGTCCGGGTGGTGTTCAGAAATAATGTTGTTTTTAAGTGTGGGGTCCCAGAGCCCCCGAAAACCACCAGAAACAATTCTGAATGTGAGGTTTTCTGATGCTTTCCGGAAGGTTGTGATACATATGTGTTATTAATCGTTTCGCTCATTCCGCCGGCCCATACAGTCTCATGTCTGCCGTTTGCCCGAGGGCCTGGTGTCAATGCGGCGCTTTGGGGGTTATTTTGCCAGGCGTCTCGGGAACCTCTTGGAGGCAGTGTTGAAGCCTCTTGAGGCCCCGTAAGGGCCGTTTGGGGGTCGTTGGGGCTTCTTGTTGGGTTTCTTGGATGGTTCTTGGGGCGTCTTGGGGGACTTATTGGCGGGATGTTGGTGGCTTCTGAGGTGCTCCTAGGGGCAGAATCCCCCTTTGGGCGCCTATTGGGCGGTCTTGGTGCTCTCTTGTGCCTGTGCCGTCTTGTGTGGGTTATAAGCCTGTTGGATGTTCGTTGGGATACCGTGTGCTCGCGGCAGCATTTTGGGGGCTTCCTGTGGCCGCTTGAGGGCCTCTTGGTGGCTTCTTCGGGGCCTTCTGAGGGGCTCTTGGGGGACCATGGGGGCCTCTTGGGGACTTCTGGGGGCCTCCCGGGAGGCTCTTAGGACTGAGGGCTCGAAATGTTGTTTCGTGTTCCCCCTCTGGGGCCGTTCTTGGGGCCCTCTTGGGCCGTCTTGGGGGCGTCTTGGGCTGTCATGGGGCGCTCTTGGGCCGTTTTGAAGCCCTCTTGGGGGCCTTTTGGGCCGTCTTGGGGCGATCTTTGGGGCCTCTTTGGTCGTCTTGGAGCGTCGGGAAGCGGTAAAGGCGAGAATGCGAAAATCCTTCAAAAACTTGAGGGAAATCGATGAATTTTGCCTCTTGGGGACCTCTTGGCAGGGCTCTTGGAGGCTTCTTGGTGCGTCGGGGAGCCATCTTAGGCGTTTTGGAGCGATATTATGGCGTCTTGGAGCTCTGTTGGACCATATTGAGGGCCTCTTGGGGGTCTCTGAGCTCTTCTCGGGGCTCTTGGGAGGCCCTGAGGGCGGCGCCCAGGAGCAGAACCATCCCCGACAGGGAGGTGCCCAGGGACCTGGTCAGGGTACTTTTCGTCCGGGGACCCCCAGGGGCCGCCCCGCGCGCGCGAACTAGAAAATTGTTAAGCAGTTACCGGAGATCTTAGCACGCCTCTGGCCCGTTGGGCCGGCGAATTTTTAAGGGGGTTCAGAACCTTCGAGCAACAATTGAGAAACCTCAGAGTCGGGGGGGGGGTCGGAGGTTCCCTCCCGGAGAACCTTTCGAAAAAAACATCAGAATTGGCAGGTTTTTCGCGGCTTCCCCCCCTCCTGGAAATTTTCGAAACATCTTAAAAAAATCGGGTAGAGGTTTTTGGGTGGGGCTGTCCAGGTGTGTGATCAGAAATGGTATTGTTTTTTATGTGTGGGCCTCAGAGACTTCAGGAACAAAAAAAACCGCACCCGAGTTGGGAGGCTTTTCGGGCATGTGAAGGAATAGTATTGTTTTTAAGTGTGGGGCCACGGTGGGGTCCCGGAAGTTTTTCAGAAATAATATTGTTTTGAATTGTTGAGGCCCAGAACCCTTGACAAACCTTCGAAACACCCCCTTGCCAGGGTGTTTTTCTGTGGTATCCCTTCTCGGAAAAAAACGCCCGAAAAACGTTTGAACCCCCCTCGGCAAAACCCCGAGTTGGGGGGGGGTCGGAGGTTTCCCGCATGGTTTTCTGAAATAGTATTGTCGTTCTTGTGGCCCCCCACAATCCCAGAACACATATCGAACACTTACATAACAAACAATTCCAAAAACCGTAGAGTTGTTTTTTTGTTCGGGGATCCCCCCAGAAAACATGCGAAAAACATTAGAAACAAAACCCATAAACAAAAAAAATAAAAAATAAAAATAAAACATAAAAACAAAACATGGAAACATCTTTTAGTTTGGGAATTATCGGAGGGGGTTGGCCCGAATTTCGATGTGAAGGGGTTTGCCCGACCGCTTCCGGGAGCCCCCCGAAATACTTCCGAATGCAATGGGTGTTATTTCATGTTTTTTGGAGCGTTTTTTCGGGGGTGGGGTCAGGAACTAGTATTGTTTTAAGTGTCGGGCTCACCCACCCAAAACCCCGCAAGTTCTCCCCCCCTCCCAGAATCAGGTTTCCGCTGCGGCGCAACGAGGGGGGAGAAGAGGATAAGCGAAAAATGAGTGGGGGGGAAGGAGGAGAGGAGAGGGAGAAGGAGTAACGGCAACCACAACGACAGAGAATGAGGAGGAGGAGGAGGAGGAAGAGGAGGAGGATTCAGGTTATGAGGCGTTTGATTATGGGTGAGTTTTGGCGCCTCCGTCTAGATGCGGCGGAAAGGCGGGGTCGCGTCAGATCTTGGAGGAAACATGATTCCTCGCCGCTTTGCTGTGGAAAATTCCCCACCCCCTGCTCGAGCCTCCCCCCCCCCCGGGTGGCGTCACTGCCGGTGCGACCTGCCCCCCTCTCGCCGCCGGCAACTCCTGGGTCCCCACCACCGTCCCCACCACTGTCCCACTCTCCCCAGGCCCACCACTGTCCCACTATCCCCACTGCTCCCACCACCGTCCCCGCTGTCCCCACCAGTAACCCCACCATTGTCGCACTGTCCCCACTGTCCTCACCAGTGTCCCCACCACGGTCCCACTCCCCACTGTCCCCACTGTCCCTCCCGCTGTCGCACTGTCCCTTTTCGTTGTCAATGGGGCATCCACTGACTGGAGGGCTTTGGCCATCTCGATCCATCGTGGGTGTTGTTGGAGGCATATCTGAGGCCATTTTAGTCCAACTTTGACCTATGTTGCGTCATTTTGGAGGCCACGTTGGGTTACCATTACAGAGCCGCTTGGAGTCATCTTGGACGCCCCAACCTATCGCGACGACCCCGTACAAACCCCTGTGGAGTGGTCAAACTTCGAAAGGGAAGAGAGGGTTTTTGTAAGAGATCATCTTCTAAACCACCTACGCCCAGAGTGCTGGTGACATCCCTGGTTGATAGCCAGGACCAAAGCACATTGACCCAACGCGGAGGGCTCTGGTGGGCTGACGGTGCTGGTGAGGATCATTGCCCAGGTGGCCAGGGCGACTGACCAAGTCACGAGGAGAAGGCGCAGGAGGAGGAGGAGGAGGTGGTGGAGGTGGACGTGGTGGAGGAGAAGGAGGTGGTGAAGGCGGAAGTTGAAGTGGGGGAGGAAGTGTAGGATGATGTGGAGGAGGTGTTGGCGGTGGAGGTGGAAGAGGCGGAGGAGGAGGTGGAGGAGGTGAAGGAGAAGGTGGAGGAGGGGGAGGAGGTGGAGGTGGAGGAGAACGAGGTGGAGTCGGAGGAAGGGGCGGAGGAGCACTCTGTCCAGTCTCCCGTCGCACTCCGCGGCCGTGCCGCGCCCCCGCCAGGCCTCCCTCCTGCAGAGCACTGCCGAGAGCGTCCTCCTGTTACTGGGCGGCTTCCTGTGCCTGCAGGAGAGGCTGCCACCAGCTGGAAGGTACAGATGCCCAGACTTCCGAATGACTGACTTTTTCAACGTTCTTCCTTTCGGCCTCCGGGTCCCATACTCGCGGCCTGGGGCCATCGAACAGGGACCTGGGGCGAGAAGTTGGCCTCGTAGAAGGGGTCGGGACGAAGTGAAACATCCTATCGACGGATGGTGGTCGTTTTTTTATTCATTGTTTTGCCGATCGGCGCGGGCCCTCGCACCCCATCCCCCCCCCCAATGCAGTAGATCTTGGCTGTTTTTGGGCGCCTGTTTCGAGCAGGTGGAGCCTCACCTAAGGGACGCACGGTTCCAAACAGCTGCATTAAGCAGAGGTCCAGAGCCAGACCCCCCCCCTTCCCCTCCCCCTGCCGCCCAATGTCGAAACGCCGAATCAAAAACGCTCACATGCCTGGGCGTGTGAGCGAAGAAGAGGAGACACATTCCGCTCACACGCCCAGACAAGGCAGAAGGAAGAGGCTGCTCCTTCTCCTCTGTCCTCGTGTCGGTTTCTTGCATGACGCTGTCCGACTGTGCGCGTCCTATCTCCGCCCAGACGTCGCCCGACCCTACCATCTTGCCCCCCCTGGCGATGCGACAAGCACAGCACATGCGTCTCAGGGATCCATGCCCGATCCGACACCGAGCTCGGGGAGCAGAGAGTGCCAGGGGGCTCAACGCAACGAGAAAGAATGTGTGGGAGGGGTAGGATGTCAGATGTGGCGACGAGGGACGGACTCTGTCCCCTGGTCCGTGACGTCAGGTGAGTAAAAGGGTGGCGGGCAAAGTTGCCGGTCCCTCGTCGCCGAGGCTGCAGTCGCCCCCCGAGTCCGAGCGCAGCCCAGGATGGGGTCGGGGAGTCACGGTGTCGGTGCGTCGTGCTCTCCCACAGTGCGTGCCCCGCCACGGTGCCAGCCCGACGAGGGGCTGGAGAGGGTGGACCAGGCAGGCCACGGCAGGCCTACGCAGGATGGGGACGAGCTGGAACGACGCCCCCCCCCGCGCCCGCGAATCTGATGTTCACATCCGCGTGGCCGCGGCGTGCAAACATGGCAGTGTCGTTCGAGACCGCTTGCGCTCGCCCGGATCGAGGGCCCCGTCTACTGAAATCGAGGCCAGGGTCTCTGTCCCGCTTCGGCACCTTTTCGGGACGGGCGCTCTGTGGCCGACAGCCACGGTCGCATGTCCTAATGCGCTCCACAGTGGTGGGGATGGAGTCGCTCCGCCTGCGCCGGCCAGGGCGAGACGCGCCTCTTCCACAGCCACCACGAGGTGCCGCGCCGCCGCTCCTCCTCCCCCTCCTTCCTCCTCCTCCTCCTCCTCCTACTCTCCTCCCTCCCTCTCCTCTTTCCTCCTCTCCTTCCTCCTCCTCCTCCTCCTCCTCCTCCTCCTCCTCCTCCCTCCTCCTCCCCCCTCCTCCCTCCTCCTCCCTCCTCCTCCTTTCCTCCTCCTCCTCCTCCTCCTCCTCCTCCTCCTCCTCCTGGCGCCGGCTGGGCTAGTGCCATGTGCGCTAGCGGCTAGCGAGCTAGCGCCACCCGGCGGCCTCCCTCGGCGGCTGCTCGCCTCTCCCCCGCGCCTCCCTCCTCTTGCGGGGCTGCCATGGAGCGGGTCCCGCCGTGGCGGACAGCCCAGCCACGGCGCACAGCTGCTGAGCGACGCGCTCAGGCCGCTCGCGCACAGGTCAGGGCGGTGCAGCTTCTGCTTCGTGGATTCGATGCGTTTCGGCATCGTGGCCGCCACCCGACGCGTTTGGGGGCCGCCTTTGCAAGTGCCCTTCATGAAGAGGACGCTCGACGCGCTGAACATGACCATCGCGTCGTCGACGACGGTACACGTGCTCCACCTGGTGTTGCTCGTCATGCTTCCGCCTGCTCTTCTGGCACCGCTCCTCTTGCCGAGGTTGGTGGCAGGCCGCCCAGAAAACCTCTTGGCGAAGACGCTGCTGGTGACGGTGCTGCTGACGTCACGCGTTCGCAGCCTTTTCCTGCACATGGCCGTAGTCGTGCAGAGCATACTGCCGGTTTTGACCAGGTTCGTGCTGAAGGAGCTCCTGATTGGCCCGCAGCCGCTGCCGAGGTTGGTCCCGCTGCTGAGGGTGCTAATGCTGGTCCTGCTCATGCTCTACCTGCTCAGGGTCCAGCTCGTGTTGTTCACGAGGCTCATGCCGGGCCTAAGCCAGTGCCATGCCGTACGCGCGCCCGCCGGCGCGAGCGCCGCGGGAGCGGGGAGGGCAAGGGCGAGGACCTGAAGACCTATGCCTCGTCCGCCTCTTCCCTTCGGCAGATCGTACTGCGAGCAGGGCTTGGGCGAAGCGCTCTGCCAATCGCGCGGTGGAGAAGCTCAGCCAGGAACTCGCAAACTCCCAACGACTGTTCTTTTATCATGTCTGGACGTAACGCATGCTACCCCCGCCGCCCCCCCCACACACACCCCGCAACGCCAACGCCGGGAAGCTGGCTACAGGCGTGAACGCGCGCAGATCCCCATAGAGGAAGAGGTGGAGGAGCAGCAACAGCAGCGTCAGGAGCAGCAGCAGGAGGTGGTGGAGGAGGAGGAGAAGAATGAGGAGGAGGAGGAGGAGGAGGACGACGACGAAAAGGAGGAGACCGGAGGCGCTGTGTACGAGGTGAGAAGGGGGAGGACGAGGAGGAGGAGGAGGAGGAGGAGGAGGAGGAGGAGGAGGAGGAGGAGGGGAGGAGGAGGAGGAGGAGAAGAAGAGACGGAGGAGGAGGAGGAGGAGGAGGAGGAGGAGGAGGAAAGGAGGGGGAGGAGGAGGGACAGGAGGAGGAAAATGAGGATGACAACGACCGACGTGGCCCGGAGGCCCCGAGAGGTGACCACGCGTCAGCAGGACGCCACCACGTGTCAGCAATCTTCTCGCCCAAGGTCTCACGCAGCCACTCCTCCGTTTGGGTCGGCACAGCCCCGCGCGCTTGCCCGCATACAGCCAAAGGGAATCAAGACAATTGCTGGCCGACTGCTGCTAGGGGCGTTCTCGAGGATGTTCGCCACCGCATTGCAGCCTTGTGCCACCACGCATCGGATATCCTCGAGTTCGATTCCTCTTGCAGCTCATCCTCGGATTCGTTGGGAAGCCAACCGTGAAGTTGCCTCCCGCCAACTTGGGGGGACGGGAATAGGCAGGCTGGCCTTGCCGAGCTGAAACAGGTGCAGATCCCCCCCCTCACAGCGGCTCCGACGGACTGCAACCCAAGTCGCTTCTCTTCTGCGGGGGCCTTGGCTGGCCAACCTTTGCTGCCTCCGCTTTGACGCGGGACAACACAATAGTACATAATAGAACAAGTGACAATCTCAAACCTGTGATTTGTATGATGTGATATCGCTTTATTGCCAGTGGTACGTGTGAGTTTTCGCCGGTGTCGCCGGCTCTTCAGACTGGCCTGGGTAAAAGAAGTTATGGTACGGCCCTCCCTCTTGCCAACACGCGCGCGCAGGAGCGAAGTGGGGGGAGGAAGGGAAGTACCCCTGAATGCTCCCCAGGGGCGGCGGCCTCAGGCTGGTCGCCTGCACTGCCGGCAGCTCCTCGGGGGCCAGAAGAGGAATCCGCAGATTCCTGGCCAGGCCAGCCAGAATCAAAAGCAGCATACAATGGAGACCCGCATAGTAAGGATGGGCAGCCTTCCCAAGGGTACCCTTGCATCCTTGCCTTCTCGGTCCATTATTAGCCACTGTCGTTGGCCGCTCCCCGCTCGAAAAGCTTTGACATGGGCGTCCGAGGCCCTTGGATCCTTATCGCGCATCCTTATGATACGGGCCGACTGCTGTGAATTGGCTTCCCTCCCTCGCTCTTACTTCCCTTAGCAGCGATGCGGGCTGCCCGAGCTGCGCGCGCCTCCTTGGCAGTCCGAACCGTGTCGGCCGTCCTGGAGAAAAGATCGCGGGCACGGCCCTGCATGGATTGAGACAAGTCGTTGCGACGCTTCTTCACTTTGGCCCGATCATCTGCCGACAAGCCAATCCCTCTGATACACAGCACAAAACCGAACTCGAGGTGACTTGCATACAGCTTGCCTTGCAGAATTGCCTCGAGGGAGATCATTCGCGAGGAAGCCGCTTCCGAGTCGCCCTTTGCCTGCACCACTAACCGAGCCTTCTGAGCCAGTTCCTTGTACGCCTATCCAGCACCTCGAGCTCCGAATACATGACCTGGACGAGCTCGCGCTGCATCTAGAGCTGCTCCTCCAACGTAGCACCCCTGCATAGCTCCTTCTGCATGCGGTGGCCGTGCTCGACCCTGTCCCTCTGACACCTTGCGAGCTGGTCCTCGAACGCCACGGGGAAAGCGGGAGGCGGCTGCAAGGCCGCGAGCTGCACACGACGGTGCCCAGCCTCGTAAACGTAACCAAATTTCTCGTCTCCAGCTCGCCAATCGAGAGGTCTGAGATGAATATCCTGTTGTCCTGAGCCATACCCCCTTGAACGCCCGGAGCTCTAGCTGCTTGATCTCGCCCTGGAAATATCACCCTAAATGCCCCTTGCACCCACGATGGCTGCCCTGATGAAGGCTGGTCCCGTAGAGCCCCACAGTGCTTGCAGAAGTAAAACTTGATTTGGTTACGGCGGCAGCCGCACATACCACACATCCACTTGCCACTCCCCTCACCTGCACGATGAGGACTCTGAAGACCGGTGGAGAGTGGAGGTCGGCGACCTGTCTTTCCCTCCCTGCCCGCTACCCCAGCTCAAGTGCCAAGGCCCGCAGGAGCTGCATCCTTTTCCGCCGCCGCTGCCCGCCATGAGCCCTGAGTGTGCTTTGTTGAAACGGAAGTTCCGATAGGAGCAAGACGAAACAATGAGGGATGAGGTCCCACAGCTCGAAAGAAAACGCCAAAGGTCTGAAGCAGCAGTGTGCCGTTCTGAAGATCGGAGGTTGGGGGGTGAGATCGCAGTGGAACGGAGACCCCGACCAGGAAATCGTTTCGTTTCGTTCGTGTCGTGCTTGCGGGCGAGGCGAAGCTGCGTGGGCGCGCGAGAGGAATGAACCCGCCGTTGCTAGGGCGAAGTCAAGACAAATGATTCTCCCCCGCCCGCCAGTCCGGCGGTGGCTCGCGGTGTCCCGCGGTGTCCCGTGGTGTCCCGTGGTGTCCGCCGTTGTTAGGGCGAAGTCAAGACAAATGATTATTCCCCGCCCGTCCGTCTGGCGGTGGCTCGCGGTGTCCCGTGGTGTCCCGTGGTGTCCCGTGGTGTCCCGTTGAGTGAGATCGATAGCGAGATCGATACTGAGATCGATACTGAGATCGATGTGGTGCCCCGAGGTGTCCCGTGGTGTCCCGTGGTGTCCCAAAGAGTGAGATCGATAGTGAGATCGATAGTGAGATCGACAGGTGTCCCGTGGTGTCCCGTGGTGTCCCAAAGAGTGAGATCGATAGTGAGATCGATAGTGAGATCGATGTGGTGTCCCGAGGTGTCCCGAGGTGTCCCACCGTGGTGTCCTACGGTGTCCCGTTGAGTGTGATCGATCGTGAGATCGATAGTAAGACCGATAGTGAGATCGAGATGTGTCCGCGGTATCCCGTCGTGTCCCGAGGTGTCCCGTGGTGTCCCAAAGAGTGAGATCGATGGTGAGATCGATAGTGAGATCGACAGGTGTCCCGTGGTGTCCCGTGGTGTCCCGTTGAGTGAGATCGATAGTGAGATCGATTGAGTCAGATGTTGGTTCCCCCCCTCTCCCACCCCCACAACCTCCTTATCACCCGAAGGGTGGTAGTATAGGTAGGCTGTTGCAAGCACTGGCAGGACGCCTGAGCTAGAACGGCTTGAGCCAAAATTGCTACGGAGGAGGGGGATGGGGATGGGGATGGGGAAGAGGCTGGGGAGGAGGAGCATGAGGGGGAGGAGCAGAATTCTCCTCCTCCAGGGGGAGGGGGAGGAGGACGACGTCGATGGTGACCTCTTGTTTTCTCTTATGCTGCCGGCAGCGACGCTGCTGTCGCTCCCTCCTCGCCCTCGTCATTGTCCCGAGCTCCTTCGTCTCCCAGCTGTCGCTCTCAGCCACTGTGTGAGGCCGGGGCCTTCTGAGAAGCACGGGTGCTTCTAAGAAGCCTTCGCCCACCCTATGCGCGCCGCCAACGCGATCTCCTCGTCCTCACTCGGGCCTCCGTGCCCGCTCCCATCTCGGCGGCGAGCCCAGGCAGGCCTTCCGAGAGGGCGGCGGGGCTTCTCAGGACTCCCACCGTCTGAGAAGCCGTCTCTGTCTTCAGAGAAGGCTCAGAAAGCTTCTCGGACGGCACGAAGGCTTCTGAGAAGCCCCTCCGTCTGCTCAGACGGCCCGCCCCTCTCACTTCCCCCCCGGGCTTGCCGCCGACCATCCGTCGGGGCGCCCTGGTTGCCGTCGGTGTTCACGGGCACTGAGGCAGCACCGTACGGGCCGAGCTCGCCACGAGAGTTGCATCGCGGTTGCCCGACCTGTTCCCCGTGGCGCCATCATGGCGCCAGGCCTTGACGACGGCGCAGGGCATGCGCACGAGGTGTTAAGCTCGGCCCTGGTCCTCCTTGCGCCTCTCTTGCCTTGCCATGCCATGCGCAGGGGACCCGGCGTATTCACCCTCGTCGTCGTGGCCGCCGTCTCTACAGTCAAGACGCTGAAATGATGAACACTTCGAATTCTTTACGCTTCACGTATCCCCACCAGCCCATCTCACAACAGCAACTCTTGCGAAGCATGCCGACAGTCGTGTTTTTCAGGCTTGTGTCCGCTTGGCCCCGCATGTCTCCCCTGTTCCTCCTTCCTCCCGCCTCCTTGTACATCCTCCTTGTGGGGGGAGCGGGAGAAGGACGAGGCGGAGGAGGAGGGAGAGAAAGCGCTCCTCGTGGTTTCGGTCGTTTGGGGTTTCTCGTCCTGGTGTGAGTCGTTCGGGCCCTTCTTCCTGGTGTGAATCGTTCGGGCTCTTCGTGATGTGAGTCGTTCGGGCTCTTCATCCTGGTGTGAGTCGTTCGGGCTTCTCGTGGTGTGAGTTGTTCGGGCCCCTCGTCGTCGTGTGAGTCGTTCGGGCCCCTCCTCCTGGTGTGACTCGTTCGGGCTCCTCGTGGTGTGAGTCGTTCGGGGCCCTCGTCGTGGTGTGAGTCGTTTTGGTAGCCTCTTGGAGGCCTTTTGGGGCGTCTTCGGGGCCTCTTGGCGGCCCCAGGGGCTTCTAGGAGCGTCTTGGGTGCCTTGGGGGAGCCTCTTCGGGCCTCTTGGGAGCCTCTTGGAGGCCGTTTGGGGCGTCTTGGTGGCCTCTTGGCGGCTCCAGGGGCTTCCAGGAGCGTCTTGGGTGCCTCGGGGGAGCCTCTTGGGGCCTCTTGGGGGCCTCTTGGGGGCATCTTGGGGGCCTCTTGGAGGCCTCTTGGGGCCTCTTGGGACTCTCTGGGAGGGGTCTGGGAGGAATCTTGGGGCCATCTGTCGGGCGATCGATCACAGATGGGGCGAGCACTTTCCTGCCTCCCCCCGTCGGGGCCAGAATCCTCGTGAGGGGTGTTGAATTTAGCACTCCCAGGAGTCGAAAAAGACCCCTCCAACGACCCGCGGGGCGCCCTCTCCAGGCCCAGGGGGAGGGGGTAGGGGGAGGGGTAAACCCCTCCCCGAAGGGGAAGAAGGGGGTTGAGAACAGAGCGGGCTCTCTAAACCACTCACGCCCAAAGGGCTGGGGGGATTTCGAGTGCTTCGTTGTTCCTTAGGTCCTTGCAAGGCTGTTCATTGACGCTACTCGTGCAGCCAGGAGCTTCTGAGGCCCTAAAATAGGGGGGCCTCGTTCCTTCTGTAGCGTTCATCATGGCAATAAGTCGTCTTGTCGTCGCGCTCCTCCTCTCTCCTCCTCCCTCCTTTCCCCTCTCCTTCCCTCCTCCTCCTCATCCTCCTCCTATCTCCTTCCTCTCCTCCTCATCTCCTACTCCTATCATTATTCCTTATTAGAATATACTCCTACTCCCCCCTCAGGCCGGCCGATAGGGGCCGCATCCGGGTGGTCCCATCCTAACCTGTAAAAAACAATACAAAATCATCATTTTTCTTATTTTTTCCTCTCGACATGGACGTCCTGTCGTCCACGGCGATAATCCATTGCAAAAAATACCACAAAGAGCACACGCGCGCGTTCATGTCAGAATCCTACCGAACACCGTGTGTTTGCAAGCATTTCAACATAAAAACATCAAAAACCCAATGCTTTTTTTCACAAAAATTGTACAAATTTCCCGCCCGGGCTCTCTTGCTGAAATCATAGGAAAACCATAGGAATTTTAAGAATTCGGTCAAATCCAGCGATTTCACGTCATCGCGCGGTGCACTCGCGATGCTCTGTCATGCACCCAGGCCGCGAATCCTGTGCAAAAAAATACCACAAAGAGCACACTCGCGCGTTCATGTCAGAATCCTACCGAACACCGTGTGTTTGCAAGCATTTCAACATAAAAACATCAAAAACCCAATGCTTTTTCACAAAAATGCTTTGGGGTGTCCTGTCAGACCGTCGGGCTTCCTCCGGCCACCTCTGGCTTCCTGCGGTGTACCGGGCCATTCTCGACTCGTCTGGCAATGCGTGCGCGGCATTCAACACGCGCTCGCCAGTTCCCGTCGGCAACCGCCATCGCGGCCGCATCAGCTGTACCAAACCGGCTGGCCGGTGTGACTTCGGCCCCCAGTTGTGCCAGCTTTGCTTCTTATGTTGTGGGAGGGCGGGTGGGACTGGGCATGCCATGCTTGACTCGCTCGAGCTGGCTAGCTTGACTCCTACTCCTACTCCTACTCCTACTCCTACTCCCAGTGTTTGGAAGGCAAGGGTTACTGAGCTGAGGCGGATGGCGAGTGGCAACATGCGGATGCTGTCATTTCAGCTCGAAGCGTCTCGACCCCCCGTGGCGGCCTTAGATATTCCTTTCGCAAAAAAGGGGAGATGCTTGCTCACTGCTGTTGCTTGATCGTTTTGCTCTCCCTGCCCTCGTCAGAGCTCCGGGAACGGCAAGACGCCCTGGCACTTTGCTAGCCCCTGCCGAATTCTCGGTTCCGTAAAGCTCCACTCCGTCTCTTCTGACTTCAGTTGTCCCGTGCCGATGCGTCGTGGACCGCAGTGTTTTCTCCTTTCGCGGTTGTGCAGGTGATCCGGGAGAACTGCGGGTTTGCCCTCAAGCCACTAGGGCGAGGCGCCGCCTATCTTATAAGTGGGCAGGGGACGGGGAAGACGATAAGCCCGGGGGTGCTTCTCAGAAGGGGTGGGGGAGAAGGATGTGGATATCATATCAGGTATTCTCATGTTTTCGAAGGATATCTTGGGGAACAGGAGGAGGCAGAGGAGGACTATCACTGCTTAAGGGGGAAGGCTAAGGGTTGGTCGACCCGTCTCGTGATTATCTGGTTCCGTGCTCGGACTCCTCCGCACCGGCCCTTCTACCGATGAGTCGGACGGCGGGGATGGGGCGGCTGAGACGGGGCGCAGACTCTCATAGACTCTCTTGGGGTCCTTGGGGTGGCGCCCTTGTTGTAGGAGAGACCACGCACCCCTGGATAACTTGAACTCTCTAGAGCAGTCCTTCCTCGAGCCTTTCGGGTTGCTCTCGATGTAGAGGCCGCACGAGCGGCAAACCACAAGACATGACTGCACTGCCTCACAATCACAAACAAAAGGGTCATGCCTCCTGGGAGCCCTGCTGACGATGGACGAGGAGGCGGCATTCCCAGGACGCATCTTGGGCTCTAGACTTCCGCGTGCAGTCTGTACGCGCACGCGTCTGGCGGATCAAACAGAGCAAGCGATTAGTTTCTCTGGGTTTCTTAATGCGCGTGGGTGGGTACCCCCCTGACGGGGGACAACCTCGCCTCGTCGTCGCGCTGCGACGGGGGTCGGAGCGCCTTAAGTGCCACAGTCCGGATGGGACTGTGCCACAGTCCGGGTCCTCCGGGGGGATTGTGCCACAGTCCAGATGGGGCCGTGCCAAAGTCTGGGGGGGACTGCCACACAGTCCGGGGGAGGAGTGTGCCAGTCCTCCAGAAAGACTGCCACAGTCTGGGGGGGCTGTGCCAGGCCACAGTCAGGGGGGACTGCCACAGTCCGAGGGTTTTGTGCCACAGTCCGCGGACTGTGCCACAGTCTGGGGTCTGTTCCACAGTCCCAGGGCACTGCTACAGTCCAGGGGGACTGTGCCACAGTCTGGGGGGGACTGCCACAGTCCGTGGGGTCTGTGCCACAGTCCAGGGGGCACTGTGCCACAGTCCGGGGGGAGTGTGCCACAGTCCGGGGGGGACTGTGCCACAGTCCGGGGGCACTGTGCCACAGTCCGGATGGGACTGTGCCACAGTCCGGGTCGGGGGGTGACTGGGCCACAGTCCGGATGGGGCCGTGCCAATATCCGGAGGGGGCTGCCACACAGTCCTGGGAGGGACTGTGCCACAGTCCAGGGGGACTGTGCCAAGGTCCGGGGGGGCCGTGCCAGGCCTGCCACCCACAGTCCGAGGGGTCTGCGCCACAGTCCGGGGGGACTGTGCCACAGTCTGGGGGACTGCCACAGTCCAGGGCTACTGTGCCAAGGGGGAATTGTGCCACAGTCCGGGGGGGACTGTGCCACAGTCTGGGGGGTCTGTGCCACAGTCCAGGGGGGCTGTGCCACAGCCTGGGAGGGACTGTACCACAGTCCGGCTCCGGGGGGGACTGCCGCAGTCCGGGGGGTCCGTGCCGCCATATTGTCCGCGAGGGGATTGTGCCACAGTCGGGGGGGGCTGTGCACAGTCGGGGGGGGCGCTGTGCCACAGTCTGGGGGGACATCGCCATAGTCCGAGGGTACTGTGCCACAGTCCGGGGGGAGTGTGCCACAGTCTGACGCAGTCCAGGGTCTGCGCCACAGTCCGAGAGGGATTGTGCCACAGTCCATGGGGGGGGGTTGTGCCCCACTCCGGGTCCGGGGGGGATTGTGCCACAGTCCGGGGGTCCGTGCCATAGTCTGGGGGGTTTGCGCCACAGTCCAGAGGGAGATTGTGTCACAGTCTGGGGTCTGTGGGGACTGTGCCAGAATCTGGGGGACCGTGCCATAGTCCGGGGGGGATCGTTTGTGCCAGAGTCTTGGGGGGGGGGCTGTGCCACATTTCGAGGGGTCTGTGCCACAGTCCGAGGGGACTGTGCCACAGTCCGGGGGGGGGACAGTCACGGGGGGGGGATTGTGCCACAGTCCGGGTCCAGGGGGGACTGCCACAGTCGGGGGGATTGCGCCACAGTCCGGGGGAGAATTGTGCCACATTCGGGGGGGTGACTGTGCCACAGTCCGAGGGGGGCATGTGCCCCAGTCCAGGGGGGTCTGTGCCACAGTCCGGGGGGACCGTGCCACAGTCCGGGGGGGATCGTGCCACAGGGGGGACCGTGCCACGCTCCCAGGGGGGTCCGTTCCATAAACCATGGGCTGGGGGGGGGGCTTCCAGGGTCGAGAGTCGAGGGGCGACTGCTCTCGTGCCCAATCCTTTGAGTCCGTGGAGTGTCGGAGGGGGCCCCTTGGGGCCCGAGGGAGGCCCCAAGGCTTGTGCTCGACGACGTGCGGCCCCCGTATGCAACGACGTGTCTACAACGACATAATATGACCACGTCTACGACGACGCGCGATGACAACAGTCGGGAGAAGGAGGGGCAGATGGGACGGCCAATCACCTCCCCCCCTTCCTTGTTTACCCTCTCGGTTTTCCGATTTCGATTCGATTCCGATTCGGCTTGCCGCGATCTGGTTTCCGATTCGATGAGACTCGGCCCTCCCGACTTCTGTCGATTTCGATTTGGCTGCCGACTTCTGCCAGCTTCTGCCGATTCGATCTTCGGGTCGATCCGATTCGACTGATCGATTCGATGTGGGGGCCTCCAGGAAGGCCTCTTGAAAGGCCAATTGGGGGGCCTATTGGGTCTTGGGGTCCTTTTGGGGCCGCCACATGGCTCTGTTGGCCCGTCTGGCGCATACGGACAACATGTTCGGGTCCTCTCTGGGCCGTCTTGGCTTCCTCTTTGGGTGTATTCGGGCCGTCATGAGGGTCTCTTGGCGCCGTACTAGGTTTTCTTTGAGGGCCGTCTTGGGGGCCTCCTGGGCCGTCTGAGGCCCCCTGGAACCATGTTAAGTTGCCAGACGCCGAAAAGGAAGAAACGCGAAACAACTGTTAGCAGTGTTTATCACAACAGAAGGAAATCAAGGATTCACATTTCTTCGGGCCCGCCTATAGGGCCTTTTGGAGCTCTCTTGGGCTGTATCGGGAGCTTCTCGGACCGTCTTGACAACACCTCCTCGGGGGAATTGTTCAAGGCCACTTGCGGGGGGTGGGGAGGTGGGATCGGACCCAGAAAATTCCCCCCACATATATATATATATATATATATATATATACAACCAGACAATAGGTGAGCTTTCTCACTCGCCCCAACGTGCACATGGCACTGTAACGGGTACGCTTTTACATTCTTCAACGCAGAGAACTGGAAGGGCCATGATGTCGCTCCACTCAGTTCCTACGGCATGGTGGCTGACGTCTGACCCGCCGAACTCCAGAAGCAGGCTGTCGGCGTGTGGGGGAAAGTGTTTGGGAAAGTCATGTGGGCAGACACGGGCCCCACTCGGGCGAGTTCAGTATTTTTTCACAAGCCCCTCCCAATCGTGAGCTTACATATCCTCGTCCAGGAGACGCCATCGACCAGTCGGAATTGGGGCGCCCATCATCCGAGGGATGGTTACGTTGTTTCGGTCTCAAGCTTGGACTGTGATTGAGGTCTTTGCGACATTGGGATCCGTATCGAGCGGGAATCGTGAGACCCGCCATGTTCGGCTACCCAAGGAGGCGGGGTGAGCTGCTCCGCTACGTGTTCTGTCCCATCCCCGATACCACAAGTGGTGAGGATGCAGAATCCAGGGAAACGCGATGGAGAAGCTACGGTGTCGATTACTTTATGCTGTGCGCTGAGAACTCTGAGCTCGTTCGATCTGAAAGTATCGAGACCAGTAATAGCAAACATTGGGCATATGATGCGATCACATTTGCCCTGAATGACAGCAAGTACGCTTTTTGTTCGCCAGGCAACTAGGCCAGCAGAAGAAGGATCAGCCAGTGCACCATAAATATATATATATATACATACACAAAGATCCAGTACCTCTTGGCTGCTGCCTCTGCCGCAGTCCCTCTCCTGAGACTCCTCCCTCGGCTCTCTTGCTCGAGGACGCCCTCGAGCAAGGAGCTGTGCCTGCTGGACCGCCTCCGCATTGAGAGCATCGTGCGATGATTGTCTGGGTGCAAGCGTCGAGTCTCCATTTCATTGAATCGCTCCACACGCCCCGTCAGCATGCCATTCTCCGTATTCAAAGTTGTTCTTTGTTTCACTCGATGCGTGGGCGGTGGGCAGGTGGGCTCTACTGCGTCGGCGCGCGCTCCGCGTTCCTGGTGGACAGCCCCTGTGCTTGCCCCTTCGGAGGGCAGGGAATGGCCAGGTAGCGCTATCGCGTCTGTGCGGCCATGTTTGGGGAATTTTCTGCCATAGGCCGTGGGTGTTCGAGCAGGGGCGGCATGCACGACTCCTCGTGAACACTAGAAAAACGACCAGCAGAATGTCGAGTCCAGGAGGAGGACCGACACGCTACTTGATCGCGAGGTCGACAAGAATCGTGGGCGCGAAACATTTCAGTATCCGCGGCCTCGCGGGCCAGGCCCTCGGGCCGCGACCCCGCAGATACGGGGCGTTTTTTCGCAGATGCTCCACGCGTAATGTATCTGTGCGACCGCGTATCTGCGGGATCTCGCCTTGGAGTCCAAACCCGCTCGTCAAATATGAAAAGCAAATGCACCCAGAGAACATGTATACAACGCGAGCGCGCTGGCGACCGTGTCCGTGTTCCCTGCTGCTCGCCGTCCTCTCGGCCGCGCCCGAGGCGGAGTCGAGCTCGGACGGCACGGGGCATTCGCCTACCTTCGGCCTGCTGTGGTGCCCGCCCGCCCTGGCTTGCGTCGGCGATCTGGGAACGGTGTCAATTGGACTACGCCTAAGAGCGACCCTTCGCGCAGTGGCCTTTGGCGCTGGCCCACTGGACCCCCCGATCGCTGAACGCGATGCGATAGCAGCGGCTTGCACGCCTGGGTTTGGTCCCCTCGCGCCCCCCTAAAGCTGCGCACCACAGGGCACTCACTTGCCGAGGGCCACTCTTGCGTGTAGGCGATTAACGGATGGTGTGCAGGCCGATCTGCGCATTTGTTGATTGTGGGAGATTGGAAGCCCACGCCTGCAGCCACAGCTAGACGGTAGCATTCAGCGGTGCTATAGTCGCGTCCCGATTGGCTTTCTGTTGTACATCGTAAAGCAAGGCTGTACTTACACCAGCTGTAATGCATCCTCAGTATTTACCTTGGCCATTGCCACTTGGTGATTCCACCGCACGGGTGAGTGAACACAGTGCGAGTCGAAGTTTGGTATCTAGCTGCTTGCGACAGACCCCATCACCGCGTCAGTGTAGCATCGACATACATGCAGGATGAATCAACCGAGCTCCCCCGAACACACCCAGTAGAACCATCTTGAGGCCGTCTGGTAAACCGCTCTACGATGAGATAGCGTGGCGCAGCCTGATCGCTGGTAGCGTTGCCGCCCAGGAGCTTCTTGGTTGCTCCTGCATTGCGTCTTCGAGGCTTCTCAGGAATCTCGGGGCCATCTTGGACGTGATGTTTCTGCCCAGCCATCACGAAGAGGCTTGGTGTGGCGCCTCTAGCGCATCTGACGAGTCAGGCGCAGTTGGCCCGCCAGCCGCACTTGACACACCTGACGCATCTGATGCATCGATCGCAGTTGGTGCAGCTGGCGCGCCTCACACCCAGCGCGCCTCGCGTCCATACCGATTGCCCATGGCAATGTGTTAGGGACTCCGCCAACTGGACTTTGGGCGCGGCGGAGTGTGAATGTGTGTGAACGACGGGGATCCTACCCCCGCCGCGCTTCCCATCGTTCCCCCCTGCTGCAATCCTTCCACGACTTCCCTGTCACGACCCTTCACCGCGCCCACTCCCCGCCTGCACGCGAGGACGCCGACGAGGTGTGCGCGATCTGGAAGCTCAATTCCTCCCTAGTTCACGCTTTCCGTACTGCCGCTGTCTACCGTTTTTTTTGCGTGCAAGGTCCGCCAAGCACGGCGCAATCTCACACCACCCGTGTTCTCACCGCCCTCGTTGCCCACTCCTGCCCCAAACATTCCCGTGCTAGATATATGGTTCCCAACACCGGTCCTGGGCGCCCTGCCCCTGAAATTTTGCCAAGAGGCCCCGCGCTGGCTCGCTCGTGGAAAGGAGGCCCTGGACGGGGCCTGGCCCTGAACTCCGGAGGGGCATTTTCGCGCCCAGAACGAGGGCCACGGGCCCGATCCTTTCTGGGCCCCCACCAAACATTTCTCAATTCCTCCAAGGGCCGTTCCCACTGCCGCGTGGTTTTGGCCGCAGCTGCTCGCACGCGGTCCACATGGCGCGAGCGCGCCCAGTTAGACGGCATCCACGCCCTCATCGAGCGGACCGGCCACGTCCTCGAAACCCATTCCTTTCATTCTTAGCGCGTGCATCCTGGACGGTGACATCACCGCCCGCCCTTGCGCCCTACGCCCGCGCTGCGCCCGCAGTTGCCATGGGGGTCGCGGTTTCCTTCGTCGAGAACATCGCGGTGCTGGTACAGGCCTGCTGGTCTGCAGCAGTGCTACCCGGGTATTTGCGACTCCTGGCTGTCCCGTCCCTCCAGTGCTTCGACGGCTGCCTCGCCCGCGGTATCCCCTAGGATTGTGTCGCTACGGACAGGCCCCCCTTCCCAGGATTCGATTGGCTTCGGCGCGTCATTGCCAGTGCCGACCTTCTACGCTCCCCCCCCCAAGACGCGCCCCTGGGACGCTGCCCCCGGCGCCTTCGACGGCCCAGCCCTGTCCGCCGCTTCTTGGCTGGAGGCTGCCGACGACGGCGTCGTCGCCACTCTGCGGCGCGCAACCCGTCGAGGAACGCGCCGAACGACGCCGAGCCATCGCCGAACCATCAGGTCGTCGAGGAGCCACCGAACTTCGAGGAGCCACCGAACGGTGTCGAGGAGCCACCGAACGTCGCGGAGTTACCGAGCCTCGAAGTCGCTGAGAAGCCACCGGACGGCGCCCAAAAACCATCGGACGGCAAGCCGAGAAACCGCGAGCGAAAATTCTGCGGTCCGTCGAGTCCACGAGTCACTAGCGCTCGATCCAGACGCACGCGGGCGAGACAGCCCAGCTGGTCATCGACGCTAGCAGCTAGCACGGTGCACGAACTGGCGAAGGACAGCACGGGTCACCACGGCGTCGTGAATCTGGAGACCAGTGGACGACTTGTTTTGGTTGGCGTTCGGGTGCCTTTTGGTTTCTTGAGGGCGGTTCGAATCGCCTGGGAGCTCCTCCTGTTTCTTGAGAGCCTTCGAGGTCTCCTGAGCTTACTGG